CATCCCCTCAGTTGTAATAAAAAATTTGTACTTGTTGAATTTTCCATATCATTACCAAATAGGAAAAACCTTTGGATGACAATCTTGAATCAATCGATGTCTAATCAATCACCACTTCATGTCGTCAATGTCTGTGTGTAGATAACCATGCCTCGAAAACATGAAACTTATAATGCTCATTTACATTTACCTTTAGTTTCATAAATGATATAGAAGTATAAATATAAAATGACTGACAATTCAACGTAGTTTTCAATGTACAATGTATATATTTAAGTGTTGGGAAGTTCTCGAAACTAAGCATGAAAGTAAGGGGTCAAGTGAGTCACGTCACATGCTTTCTTCCACAAACATGCAACATAAATTTGTCAGATAACTTGACCTGTTTGTATTTCATGTGTGTTATTGGTAATGTGAACGCACATCTTAACAATTGTAAAGTTTGACAAATGAAATATTAAGGACTCTCATTATGTTTATCTAGGGTTTTAGACCAGTTCTTTTTTACATGAACTGACTGTCATCAGCAATCGCATCCGAATGTTTTGGTAATCAATGTCCTTATAGATCTTGTTATAAAAATTAAAATCAAAAGTGGATAAAATTGTGAAAATGTGGTAATGCCATTTGTTTTCAACAAAATCATAGACAGTGACAATACAAAATTTGAAAAGTAGAATACATACTTAACTTCTTTTTTGATAACACACTGATATTTCACATAGTTCAAGATATTAGAGTTAACAAAAATCCACATAAACATGATAAAGCACACAGGTAATGATTTCAAATGCACTACAGCAAAATGGTGTTGGTGTAAAGCAAATACCATTGTTGATGTTGTACAAACATAAGAAACACCACCGACACTAGTTTTCTTATAATCAGTATTGACCCACACATTTCTATCATGTCTATAGCGTAGACAATATATACGATACTGCATTGTTGTTTTAAAGGGGCACTGATCTAACGCAATTCCCCGGACTGGTTGTTGCCTTTGTTATTGTTTTTTTCCCCGTGAGTACCCGGATGATACGCAACGCAACTGAGCGTGACCAGAGACTGGGCTACCGTCTGCAAGGACAGCTAAATAAACTTGGAGGCTTGAGGCAATATTTGTTTTACACATTTTTGCATAAACACTGATTGGTTAACCGTGATCTATAAAGATTTCGACAAAGGGCGCATGTTAATTTATTTCTTCAGCCTAAACAAACAGACAAAAAGAACGGCGGAGCTCATCGGATGTCTTCATTTGGAAATACCCGAGATGGTTATAAATTAATACTAAAAAAGTATCCATGAAGTGCATTTTGGGATTTCGGATTGCGTCGATAATACGATTACCACTCCTTTGTTGTCATCCACGTTTTATCGTATAACCCTACACTTGTGTATTTGTCGTCATTCACTTGTACTCAGTTAATGAATTTATTACAGGTAGTGGTAGCACCACTTAGATTACCTGACAAAGGTTCCCATTTGGCATTTATTGTGTCTGGGGTAATTATTCAATCTAAATCCAGGTTTGAAGTGAGGTGAAATGTGTGTTATGTAATATGCACATGGCAGACCAGCAAGAGGTGAATGATTAGTTGATTTACATTTTTTTGTAAATCAACGGATCGTTCCTAGTCATCAAAGGATTAACAGAAAATACGTTGATTGAGTCATCACTGTTATCTTGCACAGTGGATATGTCAAAAGTGAGTGTTTACATGTGTAGGTTTACTAAAACAAAGGGAATACACTTATATCATGGCGTGAAGTGCCGATGTAAAAAAAAATTACTTTGTTCAAAGGGTTAACTGATAATACGTTGATTGATTGGTCATTGTTATCTATCACTCAATGGATTTTTTAGGAACCGTGGACGTTATGAAAATAGTTGTCACGTGGGCTTTCTCAGCCGACCCTTGAGACTTGACACCTGTGTGAAACACCTGAAACAATCCAAGTGATCAGTTGAGAAACGATATATATCTTTTAAAATATTTGATTGTTACAGAGACACGTGACATCGAATAAGTTTCTTTGTACAGCTGCAGACAAGTGGGATATTGTTCCTTTGTGTGGATATTCACGGATACATTCCTCGAACAAGGAAGCTGCCTAAAATTTATACACATAAATTTGGTAGGTTGTAATTATGGTATTTGCATTTTGTTTTTCTTCATTTGCTGTAGCATTGAACCGATTTGTCCTTGTTTCTCTACGTCTTAGTTGGGAATTCTTCAATGAGCGATAGACGTTGTTTTCACAGGTCTTTTCCTTTGTAAGTGTGTATATATTACCGTCAATTTGTAAAATGTGATTCTCTCAGGCAATTTATAAAATGTGTAAATATTTCAATCATTTTGACTAAAAAATCTGTCCAGATTGATTAAGACGATCAAAAGGGCCCACAAACATCACAACATATTATTATGTAGGATTAGAAGCCAAACAACATAGAAATGTACTTTTCAACGTTACATTTTCAGTCTTGGTGATGACATTAAACATCAAAATGTTTGGAATTCGTTATCATAATGATACAGATGGAAATGTTTTTCAGTCCCTTTGTAAAATAACTGAATATTTAGGCGTTTAATAAATTTGAAAATGTTACACATTTTGACAGTAAAAAAATATACACACAATAAAAAAAGCAATGCTCAGGTGAAATATTTACTTTGTGTTGCAAGTCAAAATAGTGTAAAAGAAAATCGCAAAATTACCAAGCAAGTGAATTATCAAAACTTCGTCACCATTACCGATGCACAAAGATACCTACATTTCCTTATTATCTCGAAAACTGTATTTCATTTTGTTGATCAATGTGACCATACGCCCTTATTACTACCCATAAAAGTGACTAATGCGCTTACGAATGGCGCAGCAGAGGTCGGGAACTAGTCTAGATTTCTGCTATACATCCGGGTACTCACTGGGAAAAAACAATAACAAAGGCAACAACCAGTCCCTGGGAATTGCGCTAGATCAGTGCCCCTTTAAATCTGTTTTGTTGGGCCTTGCTTTTCCAACAAAACCATATTGACATTGTTGCTATATTGGAGGTCTTTGTCAAAACTTTGTGAGTACCTGCTCAAAACATTTGAGCTGTCATTAGCTGCAAGCCATTGGAGATGTGAGCACATGATGTTAATTCTGTTGATATATTTGGCCAGATAGAAATGTACCTATTTCGCAGAATGCCTCATGACACTCACAAATGTAGGTGTGTCCTTTGGAATTAAAGTGTGCCAACAAGAAAAACGTTTCTGATGCATCTGTGAACTTTGTGAATGTCATTTCACCATGAGATAGATGATAAGCAATTTCTCAATCCCAAGGCTTATTTAATGAATATTACTGTGCATGAGCAATGATTAAGGCAATGGTATGCTCATATCATTATCGTCATAATTTTCCATGCATTTTAGCCAGTTTACTGTGTGAAAGAACATTTATCACAGGCGTCATTGTAAACAATACAAGGTATTACTGTTAAGTAAATATGATTTCAGCGTGCCTTTCAAGCACCAGGGCTTACTTTAACTGTGCCATTGAAACAGATTTCTTTCACCCTGATAATTATTTGCATGATGTTGCTAAATTGCTTACGACTAAATTATTTAATGCATATAAAATCAACATCTTAACACAAATGAAGATCAGATCCACAAGTCAACCATAATGATCTTCTACAGAGTTGCCATCTACTTAGCATTAAGTTAGTAGTAAAAAGTGGTAGTGCACAGGAATTGTCGTCAGTCCTTCCAGAATTTACTAGTCTTAGGCTTACTAAGCTGTCTTGCTTTAACTTCAAATCCTGGATCGTGAGTGTTTATGGTCAAACAATCATACCATAGCTATCGTCAACTGTGTCTGTAAACATTGATATATTATACACATTACTATGATACCTGTAACAGCTTACAAATAGTAATTTGTCAAAACAATTTCAGCAGTAACTAGAAATGTGCACAGTCTTAACAGTTAACATGCTTAATGTAGTCATCAATCTGGAAAATTGGAAATTTCTCTTCCGCAACACATGTGTGATGTAGTGTGTCAGTAGAAATGGTAGAAAGAAGGTGTCATATATTTTCACCTTGCGTAGTAATTAATATGGAATGTGATCAAGGTTAATCAAAATCATCTCCTGTGTCTTTTTATCAGGACAAACACAAATGCAGAATTAGGCCTGTCTGGACTGTCAAATCACGCAAGACAGGATAATGAGGATACATACCCCAATGGCCTGGAGTAATATAATAAATTGTGACTAATTAGCAAGATATCTAAACAGACTTTAATAACTGACTGGTATACTACACACAGCAGATGAGCAAGTATGTATTAATCAATTTAACTGATTTCCTGTAATAAAAAGGGACTGTAGTAATAGTGCATCATTTTCTCTAATTAATATCCTATAGGCCTAATATTAATGTCTTTTGTCAGGAAAACATTCTTTTTGGGTTAGATTAAGTTGTAAAAAAGCTTATCAAGTTTTGCACATTAACACACTTTTTTAAATAGGTAGTGATAGAAAGTCCTAATAATTTATAATCAGAACAAAGGTTAAAAATATTCAGATGAAAGAGTAGGCTTAAGCAGATAAGAATCACTCAAATATAGACTTATATAGGCCTAGATCTAGTAATATTATAATCACATTCAGTATCTATTTAGACTTCAAAAATATTATATATCAAGAATTGGAGACAGTTACAGTATATACAGAAAAATATGACAATGTCTGGTTTGCTAATTATGTAGATCTATGAAACAGTGCAGACCATTCCTGTGCTGAGCGAGGTATTTTAGATATTCTTAGGCTACATGCAGGTCTCCAGTTGCACAGCCTACAATTTAGTGCCATCAAAACTTATCGATCGCTTTCTAGCATTACTTGTCAATTGTGGCAGGTCCTAGAAAGGATTCTGCATTGTAAAACTAACAAATATCAACACATAGAGACACACGTGGCGGATGAAATGCGCACAAACCTGTATGTAAACATTGCCAATGCCTTCGGAGGGAACTGCTTGAGCATCTGGTTTACAGGTCTCCGATTCTTGACTTTTGTTCCTCAGAAATTTATCAGGATCCTTACTGAACAAATATGCAGAGGCCAATGCATGTGTTATTACAATCACCATAATGAACAAAAACTGTCAGCTTCATTCAGCAAGCCACCAAATTTTCCAATTAATATGGGATCTGTCAAAATATCCGAACTGTGACATCCCGCAAGCCGTCTGCAAGTGCTTGAAGTGCCATCTAGCGGCCAGGGGGAGATTACTCTAATCGCCTGCCCGGGGGTCTAACTATCCCGCAGTCGCACTCTAATCTGCCCTGTGGTGTGTACGGTGAGGATAGAAAAATACAAAGTAACCAACCCCACAGAGACAGAATTTCCCCGATCTGCTGCAGTAATGGTGCTGAAGATGAGCTTAACGTTTTAAGTCTTATATGTCCAGACCTACGCTGTAGCAAATATTTTAATGACTTATCAATAAGGTGTTTCATCAGATGTACAAAAGTTTTGTTTTTTAATGTCCAAAAGGGACACACAGCATATCTGTAAATACTGCCCAAACCCTTTATCGCATGTTAGCCCAATCATTGCTATATTTTTCATGACTATGCATGTAGTTTCGTAATCCACAGTGAGCGGCGTGTGTACTCTCACCTGTGTTTAAACTGAACACATTGTTTTACATAATGTGAGGCTTTATTGCATTTTTTATGGGTTTGAGAAACTTACATGGGGCCATGGGGGTGGTTAAACGTTGAAAAGATGTAACCGAACTTTTAATAGAAACTTTATCTTTGTCTCAAATGTGTATATGATATGCATATATAAGAAGTACATAAATAATTATGAAAATATTTTTAAAACATTCCTAACCGTATATTATGACACTAAACATGTTTATGTCCTTCGGCAACGAGGCAGTTCAGCGTAGCGAGGTCTGCCCGTCGAAAGGGTCGGGAACAGGCCTGTTGCATATCGCTGTGCGGGAAACGTTGACCAAGTTTCCTGTATTTGATATATTTGTATCAGGGTCTGTAAGACAGACTTTGCCTCCATGTGCAGACCTACTTCACTATAGAATAATATTACAACATTGTGGTTATCACTTTGAAAAGATTAATTATTTAAAAAATATTAATAACTTTACCACTGTAGATATAGTTTCAGGAAGTCATTGTAAAACGTATAACTAGTTGTCTTCAGAATGTTTGTTTTCTATTTTCATATTACATAAATATTTAAACTGAAATATGCCATATTCTCATTCCTGATTCTGAAGGGGTTTTTTTCGTCTGGGCTACACATGTTATAACAGTGTAGGTACTTGCATCAATAGGTAGGTATGCAACAAAATGTCTTTGCGCCAAGTTATCTTGTGTATGTATCTGTCCGTCCCACATGCGCCAAAGTACCTGTTGATTCAATTGTCAATTGATTTGGAATGTGCTAGGTGCCCCACCGTTCAGCACTGATGGCAACCGCGAGGTGGTAGAAATTAAGCGTCCTCTAATGTCAGACTGTACGCTTTTTCTTTCATTTGTTAAAAATAAAATGTATCACATGGTAAAGGGATATTTGTCGTCTCATATTGAGAGACACGGTGTATTTTGTTATCTTGCATTATCACGACAAACGTTATATAAGTAGTAATAATTGTAATAAAACACACACACACACACACACACACACACACACACACACACACACACTCTCTCTCTCTCTCTCTCTCTCACACACACACACATCGGCTAATTTACTTTTGTGATGGTATATATATTAAAATATGTAATCAGTCTGAGTATAACAATCCCCAATCAATACGACGACAAAATTTTAACATACGTTAGTCCTGGTCGGTGTCTCCATTTGTAACATGGATATCCACAGACTCACTTATATCTGTACCCTAAATATGTTTACAGGCCTTTTGTCGTCAGCAGCACGCTTTATGGAGGACGAGTATCTTCACGACATTGCCCCTTACCCAAAAGCATTAAAGCAAATATCGTAGGCGTGTATTATAAATAGGGTTTTCCCGCCAACACCTCTGCCATCTCTGAAGGAACCAGTGACGTCCTCTCCGTATCATGTCCCAATTCCGTTATAGATTTCGAAGCACTCGATGCCATCAGATTTACATCACAAAGAGGATGCAAACAATGTGATTTTTAAGACAGCTGTTGCTTATATATATACTATTACCGTTTGTCATAACCTGTACCTCAACACTAAACATTTCCTACATAAAAATATCTATCGACTACGTTGTCGGATTATTTTATTGCTTACAATAACGTGTTGGTTCTTAGCTGTGTTGTAGGAATACCTCGCGTGTAAGGTTTCCCGTGCCTCGTAAATTACCAGACAGTGGGGCTCCTCGTGTGATGGCTTCAGGTTGTTTAGAGACGGTCATTGGAGTGATGAGGAGACGCAGTGTGGTCAGCCATACAACTACCGCTGCGGCCAACGCGACCTCGAAATCCGGGCCAGGTCACGGGAGTTAATATTGTAGAAGAATTTATGTTGTAAGATTCAGTTTACCGTGCAATGTACCGCGTGCTGGAATCAATGTTGCTGCCACGCGGGGTGTTATATATCACACAACTTTGTTCGAAATGTGCCTCTGTTCACCCAGGAGTGGATGGGTACCTAGTGGGATGAGATGACCGGCTGTTAACCTTCTAGCTCCCCACCCCCCCTCACCCTGAATGAGTCTAGAGTGCGCACTGATCCATTGACCGGGGTAATAATTAAGTGCGCTTTGAGCAAGCACATAGTGAACGGAAAACAATGCCTAACAAGTACACCTGTTAGTATGTTGTATATAGTTCTTAACCCATGTCTGATTGTAGCGCATACATAAATAGAACAATGGAACACGTCAAATGAAATACTTCACGACGGAAGAACATGTGTTACAGTACTGCAGGGGATACATAAAGTGCAGGGCCCCCGTACACACAGTGTGTTTCGAATGTATTACCGGGTATATCAACGCTGACTATTATGTACATCTAATGAAACTGAGTACACAGTAACAATATGTTACAACTACTACTATTCCTGTTGCTATTCCTCTATTGCTGCTGTTGCTATACTGCTGCTAACTGCTACTATTCGTTGGATTAAGAGAAATGCAGACACATATATATCGATTTCGCCGTCTTTAAAGCTTTGGCAAAATGTTTTCTAGGCCATTCATTAAGTGATAAAAGAAAATGAAATATAATAGTTCGTGATACAAGTCGATTTGAATAACCCGTGACGTCAATACCCCATCTCTGACGACATGTCGCCGGCCATGCGAGGTGATCGACATGCCCGACGAGACACTGCCAGCACCAGTAAATAGAGGCGTACATTTGTCTCGGTAACAAACAGTAGGGTTTCTCCATCCTTTATCGCTGAGGCGCAGATGCTGACACAACATGTGACGTAGATGCATGGACTATTGCGAAGGGACCGTGTTATCACTGCATGACAAATACGTCCATGTTAAACCGTGCTATTGTGAAGACGAAGGTGGGTTAAGCTGAGTGGAGCGGAGATAAAGCTACTTGTGCTTATTTAACCGCAGTTAAGTCACAAAAGAGAGGCTAAACCTGGGATAACACAACCGGAACCTCGTCCCTGGCTGCCCTTATACACTATATGATATACGCCTTGTGTAACGGGACGTTTTAGCTCATGGAAATGTGACTTTCTTGTCTCACTGATATAACACAGCAGAGTGTTCTGGGTTGTAGCATCCCCAACGTGGAAAACTCGCAACGGAAGGGGTTCATCAGCCGTGGAAAGCTATCCAACAGATCCTCGAGCTCCGTCCGTAACGAGGATACGGTAGTATGAGGTAATCTGATGTCAGATCTATTAATAGACGGGGGCAATTCCAGTGTATTCAACTAGTCGTGCCCAGATGACGCCAACAGAGTTGGTATTGACGTACACTCAAGATGGTATTACTACATTTTTATAACGCCGTGGAGATTAAATAGGAATGTTAACACGTAGTACGTGCGTACGAAGGCTGCCGATGTAGAGCTTTTGAGGTCAAGTGTAATGTGTCACATTTGTGTACACCAACTGAAGGGACGAAGACATTCCGCTTTACATTTATACCGTACACCGAGGACAATAACAGTGGTTACTTCCTAAAAGTGGTGTTGAATGTGAACACATGTTTATGTATATTGTTTACATGTCGCCTGCAGTACCCAGGTATAAACAACGCGTTTACTAGTCAATAATAATTTTGGAAGTATGAGTACACAAGATAAATGATACATGCTTCTTGTGTAATGCACAAACATCCCTAAGGGGACACTAATGTGCTACTGCTGCTCGTGAAACGTGCTCCAACTTTACTAAGTGCTAGGCAGATCAGTCGGCAGGAACATTTCTCTCCTGTGGTAAATATTTGCAAATGGCTGGCATCAACTCTTCATGGCACATTCTTGAACGTACTCACCTAGATACTGGCGGTACACATATGTATCCTTAAGTACCTCACCTCATACTTAAAGTTATTGTTAATGGAATCTGTAAAAAACCCTCATCTATTTATTTACTTATAGATACGGTTTTCACGTTGAGGAACAGGCTTCTACACAGTAGTCATTCATATCAGCCACAGGTGCTATCATTCACGCCACGTTACATATAGGTATATCTATCGTAACAGTGCGCGTATGTTATCACGACTGGCGGAATGCGGCCCTGCGTGCGTCATTTCAGTTTCAGCTAGTTCTACACCACGTTCAGTCAGTTCTACGCCACGTTCAGCTAGTCCTACACCACGTTCAGTCAGTTCTACACCACGTTCAGTCAGTTCTACACCACGTTCAGTCAGTTCTACACGACGTCCAGCTAGTCCTACACCACGTTCAGTCAGTTATACACCACGTTCAGTCCGTTCTACACCACGTTCAGTCAGTTCTACACCACGTTCAGTCAGTCCTACGCCACGTTCAGCTAGTCCTACACCACGTTCAGTCAGTCCAACACCAAGTTCAGTTAGTCCTACGCCACGTTCAGTCAGTCCTACGCCACGTTCAGCTAGTCCTACACCACGTTCAGTCAGTTCTACACCACGTTCAGTCAGTTCTAACCACGTTCAGTCAGTTCTACACCACGTCCAGCTAGTCCTACACCACGTTCAGTCAGTTCTACACCACGTTCAGTCAGTTCTACGCCACGTTCAGTCAGTTCTACGCCACGTTCAGCTAGTCCTACACCACGTTCAGTCAGTTCTACTCCACGTTCAGTCAGTTCTACACCACGTTCAGTTAGTTCTACACCACGTTCAGTCAGTTCTACACCACGTTCTGTCAGTTCTACGCCACGTTCAGTTAGTCCTACACCACGTTCAGTCAGTTCTACACCACGTTCAGTCAGTTCTACACCACGTTCAGTCAGTTCTACACCACGTCCAGCTGGTCCTACACCACGTTCAGTCAGTTCTACACCACGTTCAGTCAGTTCTACACCACGTTCAGTCAGTTCTACACCACGTTCAGTCAGTTCTACACCACGTTCAGTCAGTTCTACACCACGTCCAGCTAGTCCTACACCACGTTCAGTCAGTTCTACACGACGTTCAGTCAGTTCTACACCACGTTCAGTCAGTTCTACGCCACGTTCAGTCAGTTCTACGCCACGTTAAGCTAGTCCTACACCACGTTCAGTCAGTTCTACACCACGTTCAATCAGTTCTACACCACGTTCAGTCAGTTCTACACCACGTTCAGTCAGTCCTACACCACGTTCAGCTAGTTCTACACCACGTTCAGTCAGTCCTACATCACGTTCAGTCAGTCCTACACCACGTTCAGTCAGTTCTACACCACGTTCAGTCAGTTCTACACCACGTCCAGCTAGTCCTACACCACGTTCAGTCAGTTCTACACCACGTTCAGTCAGTTCTAAACAACGTTAAGTCAGTTCTACGCCACGTTCAGCTAGTCCTACACCACGTTCAGTCAGTTCTACACCACGTTCAGCTTGTTCTACACCACGTTCAGTTAGTTCTACACCACGTTCAGCTAGTCCTACACCACGTTCAGTTAGTTCTACACCACGTTCAGCTAGTCCTACACCACGTTCAGTCAGTCCTACACCACGGTCAGTTAGTTCTACCCCACGTTTAGCTAGTTCTACACCACGTTCAGTCTGTTCTACACCACGTTCAGTCAGTTCTACACGACGTTCAGTCAGTTCTACACCACGTTCAGTCAGTTCTACACCACGTTCAGCCAGTCCTACGCCACGTTCAGTCAGTTCTACACCACGTTCAGCTAGTCCTACACCACGTTCAGTCAGTTCTACACCACGTTCAGTCAGTCCTACACCACGTTCAGTCAGTTCTACACCACGTTCAGCTAGTCCTACACCACTTTCAGTCAGTTCTACACCACGTTCAGTCAGTCCTACACCACGTTCATTCAGTCCTACACCACTTTCAGTCAGTCCTACGCCACGTTCAGTCAGTTCTACACCACGTTCAGTCAGTTCTACACCACGTTCAGTCAGTTCTACACCACGTTCAGTCAGTCCTACACCACGTTCAGCTAGTTCTACACCACGTTCAGTCAGTTCTACATCACGTTCAGTCAGTCCTACACCTCGTTCAGTCAGTCCTACACCACGTTCAGTCAGTTCTACACCACGTTCAGTCAGTCCTACACCACGTTCAGTCAGTCCTACACCACGTTTAGTCAGTCCTACACCACGTTCAGCTAGTCCTACACCACGTTCAGCTAGTCCTACACCACGTTCAGTCAGTTCTATACGACGTTCAGCTAGTCCTACACCACGTTCAGTCAGTTCTACACCACGTTCAGTCAGTTCTACACCACGTCCAGCTAGTCCTACACCACGTTCAGTCAGTTCTACACCACGTTCAGTCAGTTCTACACCACGTTCAGTCAGTTCTACGCCACGTTCAGCTAGTCCTACACCACGTTCAGTCAGTTCTACACGACGTTCAGCTAGTCCTACACCACGTCCAGTCAGTCCTACACCACGTTCAGTCAGTCCTACACCACGGTCAGTTAGTTCTACACCACGTTCAGTCAGTTCTACACCACGTTCAGTCAGTCCTACGCCACGTTCAGTCAGTCCTACACCACGTTCAGTCAGTTCTACACCACGTTCAGTCAGTCCTACACCACGTTCAGTCAGTCCTACACCACGTTCAGTCAGTCCTACACCACGTTCAGTCAGTTCTACACCACGTTCAGTCAGTTCTACACCACGTTCAGTCAGTCCTACGCCACGTTCAGTCAGTCCTACACCACGTTCAGTCAGTTCTACACCACGTTCAGTCAGTTCTACACCACGTTCAGTCAGTTCTACACCACGTGGATGCTTTCACATAAAATATCATTATCATGCAATTCTGTATATCACCAGTATGAAGCTCTTTGAAACTGTGCCATATTAGGAAACGTTTGAACACAGCGTCGATTCAGAAATATCCGGAACGTGTCCAACTATGTGGCTTTGCACATGACACACAACAACAGCGATGTCACATTCACATTCGCCATAGGAGTGATCAAAGATAAAACCCTTTTGTCATAATTTTCAGATAGCAAACCCAAACTGTAGTACGGTGTTCAGCTTTATCTGAAAAAGTCGACGTTACGAGTCTTTAACTTAGTATTTAATTTCTCGCTAAAATCGACCTGATCAGCTGATGGGACGTGGCCAAACTGCCATTAGACGTGATTAACGCTTATAGTTCCCTAAGGACTATGTAATTGTATTTCTCCGCCTCTCTCTCCTGGCTACAAAGGTGCGCGGATACATCAACCTATTCGTTCTGGAAAGCCGATCTCTTTAAGGACATAATAACTCAGTAAATGAAGATTTATGTGCAGGCAAAGTCGGAATTATTTGAGGTTTTCCGCGTCGAGATAAAAGGAACCACCCCGGATGAGTGAAAATAGTGTCAGTTTCCGCCCGGCGTGCACCGGAGTACGTTTATATATCTGGCCGGTCCTTCGCGCGTAGTTTCAAACTTGGACTTTAATGATTTTTCGGCTTATGTACCTCCCGTAACGTGTTGAACCGATAACATACATTTGCATGCGGAGCCGCTGACTGGGAGCAGGATTAAGGAGTTTCCTGCAGCGTTACACTAGTTGGTTGTCGCATATACTTCCACCAATATAACCAGACGTCAGCATGGCTCTCTAAGTCTATCTCCCTCAGACAGAAGTAGACGCTTTAAAACACGAGCCAAATGAAATGTATTGTGAAGATTACGACACGATAAACACATTCCTATCTTCATTTGTAATAAGAATGTTATTCATGACAAGGTTCACGCGACTGTAATATACCATGGTGATCCTGACAAGGTAATGTAATATACCATGGCGATCCTGACAAGGTACATGTAATATACCATAGTGATCCTGACAAGGTAATGTAATATACCATGGTGATCCTGACAAGGTACATGTAATATACCATGGTGATCCTGACAAGGTACATGTAATATACCATGGTGATCCTGAAAAGGTACATGTAATATACCATGGTGATCCTGACAAGGTACATGTAATATACCATGGTTCTCTGACAAGGTACATGGAAAAAGTAAATCCTCCAAGATGTTCCTCGGTAGGAAGACGCCTCCAATACGATAGGCAAAAGTGGCAGTGGGTTTATAAAACTTGGAGATTGTTCCAATAAAAGCGCAAGTTACATACAAATGTTTACACAACACCTTCTACCACATATCTTTTGTAGCACCCTCTCGTCTGGCAGTCCGACTTTCTGTTGGTGCCGAAGAGTCCTAGTACTCGGCACTTTCATTGCCCAAATGTACCACCCAACACTGCCTGTGTCTTTTGGCAAACACCTTGATACGTGTACCCACACCAGTATCATTAGGTGGAGGGAAAGGGTTAATTCAAAGAAACAGCATGTAAATGATCTTCAAATATCAGAGCAGAGTGTAAGCAGCTGCAGAAAACATGCTTGAGAGCATCAGCCTTAAAACCGGCTGACTTCACCAGTCCTGGTCCAGATTGGATTATGGCTCAAGAGCAGTAAAAGAACCGACATTAGAAGAGAAAAGGAATCTTTTCAGAATGAACCTGCAATCTGAAGCACTTGCTACTTTAGACAACTACGTTCATGCTTAAATATTAAAATCATTACGGTGGATTCCGAATCAAGCAAAAGAATTGCAAGACATGTGTCCCGTTGATGACAGCATGAACACCCTCCGTAACGTGATAACGTCTTATTTTCTGCTTTCACAGTAAGAATCCGCTACACTTTGGTCGTATCGATTACAAAGGGAGAATTAAAGATACAAGATACTATTCCCCTTGCGGCTATCTTTCCCTAAGCTTTATTCCATCATCAAACAGAGACAATTCCCTTTTGCGTGAAGTTTCACGACGCACAACGTCTTCTTTACGCACGGCAAACTTACAATGCGAACACACCGGACACACCGAACACACCGGACACACCGAACACACCGGACACACAGGACACACCGGACACGTCGGACACACCGAACACACCGGACACATCGGACACACCGGACACACCGGACACATCGGACACATCGGACACACCGGACACACCGAACACACAGAACATATCGAACACACCGGACACACCGGATACACCGGACACATCGGACACATCGGACACATCGGACACACCGGACACACCGAACACACAGAACATATCGAACACACTGAACACACCGGACACACCGGACACATCGGACACATCGGACACATCGGACACACCGGACACACCGAACACACAGAACATATCGAACACACCGGACACACCGGATACACCGGGCAAACCGGGCACACCGAACACACCGGACACATCGGACACATTGAACACAGCGAACACATCGGACACACCGGACACATCGGACACACCGGACACACCGGATACACCGAACACACCGGACACACCGAACACACCAGACACATCGGAAACACCGAACACACCGGACACATCGGACGCACTAAACACACCGGACACATCGAACACACCGGACACATCGGACACATTGAACACACCGAACACATCGGACACACCGAACACATCGGACACACCGGACACACCGAACACACCGAACACACCGGACACACCGAACACACCGGACACATCGGAAACACCGAACACACCGGACAAATCGGACGCACCGAACACACCGGACACATCGGAAACACCGAACACACCAGACACATCGGACGCACTGAACACACCAGACACATCGAACATACCGGAAACATCGGACACATTGAACACACCGGACACACCGAACACACCGGACACACCGAACACACCGGACACATCGGACACACCGGACACACCGAACACACCGGATACATCGGACATACCGGACACACCGGACACACCGAACACACTGGACACACCGGACACACCGAACACACCGGACACACCGAACACACCGGACACATCGGACACACCGAACACACTGGACACACCGGACACACCGGACACACCGAACACACCGGATACATCGGACATACCGGACACACCGGACACACCGGACATACCGAACACACTGGACACACCGGACACACCGAACACACCGGATACATCGGACATACCGGACACACCGGACACACCGAACACACTGGACACACCGGACACACCGAACACACCGGACACACCGAACACACCGGACACATCGGACACACCGAACACACCGGACACACCGGACACACCGGACACACCGAACACACCGGATACATCGGACATACCGGACACACCGGACACACCGGACATACCGAACACACTGGACACACCGGACACACCGAACACACCGAACACACCGGACACACCGAACACACTGGACACATCGGACACACCGAACACACCGGACACACCGGACACACCGGACACACCGAACACACCGGATACATCGGACATACCGGACACACCGGACACACCGGACATACCGAACACACTGGACAGGTACTTTAAAGGCCATGTAAAGGTTTGCGCTGGTTCAAATCTGTAACGTTAACGTCAAATGTCCAGGCGATATTTTTCTGGTTGGAAGGTCGATTCGTGTTTGAACTATGTGTAGTGATAGACTGTATGATGGTGGGAACTGATCAGAGGACACAATCCGGAGCTTCCCAAGGTCATGGCGTCAATCAGGTTCTCAAAGGAACTCTAGATATCCATCACAGAGCGTCTGACTAATGAACCCTTCCACCAGGGCATCTGGGCATCTTTTGGAACCCTCAGTACTCCAAGCGATTTCATAGCGTGAAAGTGAAGACACTTATATGTGTTTGAGTGGGTCTCGTCGTTCACAATTAGCTTACGTTGTTCTCCAGCTTCGACTCCGGGAGGTACGAACAATACGATCAGCTCTTTGTCATTTTGGACAAACTTAAGCAAAACAGGTAAAGTTGGGAATATTTGTGTTACGATCGTAGTTCAAACTTCATTAAATATTAAAATCCGTAAAGGCTCATCGCTACCCCTTCCATAAAACGTCCTCGTAACTTAACTTGCATCGTGTAAGATGGCATGCCTAGTCGGCTGTACATGCGATGTACCGTTCTACTATGGGTACTGGCAGGTGCTGGTTCCCAGGTGGGAAGTACACAAAAAGTCAAATCTGTGGAAGACTGGATTAAGTTCCAACACATTATTTCCATACTCAAAGTGGGATTGTATAGTGACAGCTGAATATTCCTGAGGATTTGAGCGATGAACTTCGATTGTTTTATTTAGACGCTAAGTTGATAAATGTTTCCAGTAATCATTAAAGTGGAAGAATGGAGGAAGTTCATTAATTGTATTTGTCGAGAAAAATACGAACAGTTTGCTTTTGGTACTGGGGAAGTAGTTCTCAAGGTTATTTGTGTCACGCTTCTCAAGTATGTGTACCATGCGACACTGGACAGTTTATGGTTCGCTTCTCAAGTATGTGTACCATGCGACATTGGACGGTTTATGGTTCGCTTCTCAAGTATGTGTACCATGCGACATTGGACGGTTTATGGTTCGCTTCTCAAGTATGTGTACCATGCGACATTGGACGGTTTATGGTTCGCTTCTCAAGTATGTGTACCATGCGACACTGGACGGTTTATGGTTCGCTTCTCAAGTATGTGTACCATGCGACATTGGACGGTTTATGGTTCGCTTCTCAAGTATGTGTACCATGCGACATTGGACGGTTTATGGTTCGCTTCTCAGGTATGTGTACCATGCGACATTGGACAGTTTATGGTTGTCGTAAACGGCTACATGGCGATATTTCAATGATTCTCTCTAACGGAAACATGGTTGCACTAATCCATTTATAATAGTGCTGTGAGACCTATTGTCGTAAAAGAACACCCTAATCATTAGGGCAGGATTGTTTCTATGGAGAGGACGAACTCGACGATAACTTCTCTGATGTCAAATTACTTCCTCTGCGCAGTTTCCGTCCGGTAGAACTTGATTGAATAAAAGCGAATAAGGATTTACCGCTGAAAACAGTCGTAAATGGAAATGAATCTTGCACAAAGTCCTTGCTTTGATACATGCAACCTAAAATAATCAATACTCTAGACCTAATAGATTTTCAACCTGCACACCTTTCAAAGAAAGTACAGATCTCCACGGACCAAATTGTTTGTCGGATCAAGGCCCGGCATTGCTGTTCGTCAAAGTAGCTATATTAGGTTTGCCTGTATAATTTGGTGGATGGCAGTCTGCCAAGTGGCCCTGGTTGCGTCTGTCTTGACATTGCTTTCAATGTCTTCCTCTGATGAACACAAAGTATCTCATTGTAATTATTTGTATGGAAAAACATATGCAGCGAATCTCATAATGACATTCTTGCAATGGCCATGGACATGTGATCAAGTCAAATATCACATCAGAATCACCATACCTACATCGAGATCAGTTATCTTTGAAGCGGCACTCCTTCACGTGGGACAGTTCCGTACAAACCCCGAGACCCACGCTCTATGTACACTGGAACAATAGGGTGACTGCACTGCACATAACATCCTACATCGCCCTAACCTCAAAACATGTTCACCAAATGATGTTTTTCGATGTTTTCTTTTCCTTGCAATCAAACCTTGGAGTGGGAACAGAGGACAAGGCGCTTCAAAGGCCCTTTAAAGGTTAGCGCTGGTGAAAATCCCTGTTCCCTTGTTCGTGATTCCCTTTTTTGTTTAAACCCTATTTGAAAATCTTCATCAATAAGAGATATTTTCCTCAGCTGCGACCTCAACCCAACAGTAGAATAAGCTTCGGCCATCTCGGGACTTTCCTGGACCTCCATGCCACAGCTATAATGCGCCGCACTTCATTTAAAGCTACAGGACTTACAATGGAGGGATTACCGGATTACCTGTCTGTGCTATACGCTGCACCAGGAGGTGGGAGACTGGCATCAGGTAATAACAGTTGTCTCAGAGTGACGTTATGGGCCGTCACGCGGACAGGCTGTACTTCCTTTGTTCATCTCGGCTTTACGATGGACATTGCTTGTCTAACTGTCAATGCTGCGTCTTTGAAATATATGGGTCAGATCAGAACGACTTTCGCAAACTTTAACCGACCAATGAAATGACTAACAAGAAGTGGACATTAGCCAATCAGAAACAACTGCAGCAGTCGACTTCCCCTGACTACGCGTTGACAAATATTTTGAATAATTCTCTATTCAAAATATGAAAGCTGAACAAAATAAAAGTCTGGAATGTCTAATAGATAGCCGAGATTGTATGGCAGTACTTCCAACGGGCGATGGAAAGTCTCTTCCGTTTCAAATGTTTGTCCAGCTGAAGCAAGAGATAGACGATGATTTTGAGGGAATCAGACGCACAGCCGGTAACTGTCGTTTTTAATACCCAGTGTCAACCTTTTCGAAGTATTCGAGAAAACACATTCCGAATATCACTTGCTCCATTTGGTAAGCTACGCTCTGATTGGTCGGATGAAAGGTCATTCATCACATAACCCGCAAGGGTTTACAACGGTATGGTTTCCTAAAGGCTATGCTGTCCTCTACGTGAAACAGAGTTACGAACGATTCTTATACATAAGTGAGGCTATCTTTTTATTTTCTGTGTCATCCTTATTTGACAGATTTCAGGCATAAATGCCAATTTGTTGGTGTGGGTCATGTGACACTGTTGTAACCCTAGAGATAACACCGTGTATAAAGATTCGCAGTGACAAAAAAATCTGCACAAGACTGTGACAAGAAGGATGAGTTCCATGTTCCATAGGCAACGTTCCCTTGATGTGGATTAACATTCCAACAGTTCCAGCCTTACGTATGTATGGGGTTTACACTTCACAACTGTTGGTGTACGCTCGAGCACCCTCTTTCTACGAACATTTCAAATAGCGCCTTACGACTTTTGCTCAAAAGTTTTATGTTCGATATGTGGAGGAAATTTCAGTGACCAAAATGTTTCCCGAAGGAATTCCCTATTTTGACTTGTTCCCTATGTTCCCAAGATTGTTCAGGTGAAAACTTGACTAGCCTTTATGACGGGTTCTACCGGTGGGGCAGGATACGACCACCTTTTCGCGTATACCTGGTAGTATCACTATTTGATAGTGCTTCTTTAACAAATGCTTACGATGGTCAGAATCGAACAATGGACTCTGCCTTTAGCAGAGAGTTCTTATGTTTTATTTATTTTTCAAATTTTGTTGTAGACACATGAAACGCATACCAATCCTATTGTTAACCCTTTTGTCACATTTCGTTATTATTTGATTTTAAAACATAACATAATGCATAATATATTCGACTCATATATTGAGTAATCATGTAATTACGCTATGTTTGACTGGGAATGTTCAGATCACCATTCGTTCTGTATACAGGCTACAACAGGCTACAACGCGAGAGAAGTGAGGGAATTTAACCAGTGGCACACCTGCATAATTTGACTCCATTCCTGCTGTCTTGCAGGAACTGTGGACCTGCAGGCGTGGCACTCCATCGATCAGTGGCCAGGAACAACGTGCTCGAATCTCCAGCTTGAGTTTAACTGGACCAGCGAGAAGCTCGGAGAGCCCGTCATTGTCTCGTCCACGCTCCCGTGTGGCTCTTTATACAATGATAATGTCATCTTGGACATTTACTATGCCGAATGGCCTGCGATGTATGCCATCTCCAGCACAAGCTGTCTCAGGGGTACGACATCGCATACTGGTGCTATCTATGTCGGCCATTGTGAAAGATGTCGGGAGATTTGGCCAATCCTTCACCTCAGTGACCCCCTGCCAAAACGATGGGAATGGCGAGGCTGTGGTAATACAGCTGATCCAGGAAGTACCGCCACACAGGTTCACAAGACTTCTGAATCAGCAACAGGGTAACTGCTATCTAATAACATTGATGGAGTATAGCCATCGGCACTAAGGATGTGACTATTGTCGTAGTCTGCCCGTTCAGAGACGTGACTATTGTCGTAGTCTGCCCGTTCAGAGACGTGACTATTGTCGTAGACTGCCCGTTCAGAGACGTTACAATTGAAGTGGTCAGCTCGTTCAGAGACGTGACTATTGTCGTGGTATGCCCGTTCCGATACCTGACTGTTGTCGTGGTCTGCCCGTTCCGAGACGTGACTGTTGTCGTGGTCTGCCGTTCCGAGACGTGACTATTATCGCGGTCTGACCATTCCAACTTTTACACAACACATACACGTACATGAACCAAAGCGTATACAGTGTCAGCCTGAGTCTATCAAGACGTACCTAGTGTCGGCCTGCGTGTATCAAGACGGATATAGTGACGGCCTGCGCGTATCAAGGCGTACGTAGTGACGGCCTGTGTGTATCAGGACGTACCTAGTGTCGGCCTGTGTGTATCAAGACGTACCTAGTGACGGCCTGAGTATTTCAAGACGTACCTAGTGACGGCCTGCGTGTATCAAGACGTACATAGTGACGACCTGAGTATATCAAGACGT